AGTCTAAATAATAAAATATAAAAGAAAATCTAGAACGCTAGGTAAACGTCTCAAGCAACAATCGAAAAACTATTCGATCGCCTCCCAAGAACGACAAATTAGAACTCTAGATATAAAGAAAGGAGAAGAAGTTTACACTCAAGAACCTCAAGTCTTGAAAACAGGTAATCCAAAGTCGAACTCAAACCAAGAGGTTCCAAATCTCTCCGAGAGTTTTCTTATGTCAAAATATGCTAAGTTCCTAATAAAATAACCCTAGGCTGTTATAAATACCCAATGGGTAAAATAGGAAAAGTTTCTAAGTTAATGTCCCAAAAAAGCTTGTCAGGCCAAACCGTACCCTCAACTGTAACCCCAACCGTGACGCACAACTGAACCGTGACGAATTCCACAAGCTTATTTTCTTCAGCTCTTCAAGCCCCTCTTGAACCATAGCCAACGGTTGGTGAAATCGTGTCACATGGTTTGACTTGGAGTCTTGATTCTTCAATTCTCAAGATTCCAAACATAGTATCCTTTGCATGAATCCTCCAAGTGACTCTCCAAACGTCTTCTAGTCAATTGTTGAAGACCATGCAGCTCCTCAGTGTGCATCCCTCAGGCGTTCTTGGACTTAGAGCGAGTCAAAGGTCTACTAGATAATTTGGAGTCATCTTCAATATTCTCCACTTAGACCGGGCTATCTAGGATCGTATCAAACGATATCCAAGGAACAAAAAGAGGAAAAATAATAAAATTAGCTTAAAAATAAATAATAAGACTTATTTAAATTTGATATGAGAAGATTATTTGAATTATGAGAAAAGTTCAAACGAAGAAATTCAAAGCAAACTCATATAAATTTTATAAATGTAATAAATTTCTAATAAAGATCATTTTGATAATAAGTAAAATTAGAACACAAAATATTATGTTAAACATAACACATAAAAAGAAAATCTAATTAATAATTATACATACTACTAAAATTGTAATTATTAAAAATAATACTAAAACTAATTCATGAAACGCTTCACCCATGATAATTACTGAGTTAGAACATTAAAAAATTATTAAGTTTAAGTTCTGGATCTCTACATTTATAAAGGTAGGAACTATTAGTTTATTGAAGGAAAGAAAAGGATCAACAAAGATTTAAGAAAGTATACGTCATTTGCAAATAATAAAATGAACAGAGGATATAATAGTCTACTAAATAAGACCTGATTTTGGGGCTGCATGTCCAAACTCAGATACGAAATACCTGTACATATTTACTTGGTAATAAAAATTGTTTAATTACCAAAAAAAATAAGACCTGATTTTTACTGTAAAAAAAAATAAGTGTATGCTTAAGTCTAAAATATAGGAGTAGTATTTGGTAAAGATACGATGTTAATCATTTTCAGACTTATAAATCAAGTTACTGAAGCTAGAATTTTATTAAAAAAATTGTTGGAGAAAAATTGATCATCCCAATAATAATATTGACTCATCCGAGTCAAAATATCTTCTAGATCCAAGAGAATATAATTTTTTATCGCATTATTCTTTTGCCATTACTAAAAGTCAAGATGAATCACTATCTCATATGGCCTACTTTTAAATACACATGCGTTTATAAATGCACCTTTTTATAATCTTCATCACGAGTTACAAGTGGGAAGGTTGAAGATTTTAATGATGATGATGAATAAATAACAAATAAAGTTAGAAAACTAGTAAACAAAGAACTTTTTACATTCGTTTTGAATCATGTTATATTTTTAATTGTTTGTAGTCCAAATTATATAATTATGATATCTGAGTTTCATCCAAAAGTTATTCGATAAATATGATTCTTTTAATATAATACATAAAAATTCATTATTGGGTACTTGCAGTAGATAAGAAGTTTGATTTTGTAAAATCATATGATATAGTTTGCTCAACAAATTATATCATATTTTGATATGATTAATAATCTTTAATAATGTTCGCACATTGTACGATTAATCAACTGTAATTTCTTTTAAAAAGCCTGGACTCTTAAGAGCCACTTTAGAGGTTAGTAGCAGGCTAGGACCTGGCCTCTCTCATTCAAATCTAGCCTGAGCCGGCCCATTATGAAGGGGACCAGACCGGAATTGGGGCCCAGGCTTGCTAGCCCAAGTAAAAGTAGATTGGTACTGGGCTGATCATGCTCGCTTATCAGGTTTACTTATAGGAATTTAGCGGCCAAAATTTCACGGTATAACCAGTTTTCGGACTGGTCAATCAAAAATAGCCAGCGTTTACCAAATCAATGAAAAATAGCCACCATTTTGCTGCAATAGAGACCGATCCAGCATAATATACTGGAGTTCGGTGCACTTGTGTATGAACTCCAGCATATTATGCTGGACCGGTATACTTTGCTGGGTCCAGTATAATATACTGGAGACTGGAGCACTGGTGCTCCAAACTCCAGTATATTATACTGGACCATTATACTTGCTGGAACTCCAGTATATTATGCTGGAGTTCTAGTGTATTTATGCTGGAACTCCATCATATTATGCTGGAGTTCCAGCATACTATCCTGGAACTCCAGTATAATATGCTGGAGTTCCAGTATACTTATGCTGGAACTCCAGCATAATATACTGGAGTATTTTCCGGGTTTTGAACAGCGTTTTCGCTCAGATTTATCTTTACATAAAAAGTGGCTAAATTTCAATTACTTTTGAAATTGGGCTATTTTTGAACGACCAGTTGTAAATCTGGCTATTTTTAAAAATCACCCAATTTAGCGCCGTGTATCAACTCAACTTATAGCCCGTTTGGCCAAGCTGCAAAATCAGCTTATTTTGAGGAGTGCTTTTTCTCAAAAGTACTTTTGGTGAGAAGCAGTTTGTGTTTGGCTAATTAATTTTAAAAGCACTTCTGAGCAGCAATTAGTGTTTGACCAAGCTTTAAAAAACTGCTTCTAAGTGTATTTTTCTCAAAAGTGCTTTTGGAGAGAAGTTACTTTTTTCTGCTTCTCCAAAACTGCTTCTGCTTCTCCTCAAAAGCACTTTTTTCTTTTCAAAAGCTTGGCCAAACACCTTAATTTTAGAAAAAAAGCACTTTTGGCCCAAAAAAAAGTGCTTTTGCCTCAAAAGAAGCTTGGCCAAACAGGCTATTACTAATTAGCTAGAATTAATCTATTTTTCATTTATTCGCATCATGTAGCCAATAAATGTGTATCATCATAATAATAATGTGTATATCAAAATATATATCACAACTTTATTTTTCTTCTTTGTGTATATCAGAACTTTATATTCCTTCTTTGTATATCTAAAATATAAAATTGTAAATATAATTATTTATAATTTATTATTGTCTCTATCCAAGTGCATAAATAAGTGTACTTTCTGTATATTATAGTGTATAACATATCATATAATGTATATACTAAAATTATAAATCATAATTTTATGTTGTTCTTTATATATATATCAAATGTATATTATTATATATATATATATATATATATATATATATATATATATATATATATTAAAATGTACATAAATATGCATTTATTTAAACTAAAACTTAAACTAAAAATAATTGGTAGATAATATGTATAGTATATGTATAACCGGAGTACAACTTATATATACCAACTTGAAAAAAAGTAACGAGTGAACTCTGCTAAGTGTCAATTGAACACTTGTAAGTTTTGTACTTGCAATATGAATAAGAATAGATTAATATATTTTTTTAATAATACAATCTTAGTTGAGATCTTTTTTATTAGATATCTTCCACTGGGGTACACAACTGCTGATATTGAGCTTCACTGGCCACGTGTAATCTCACTTTCTATTTGAGAAAGGGACACAAGAACTAAGATGAAGCTATTAGACACAAGAAAAACTCTAAAAGAATTATTATTTTCTGTAAACTGAAATACATCAACGTCAAGATTGTGCACTAAGGTAAGTAATATCCATTTGATCTCTAAAATCCTACATTTTGAAATGATTTACTGAATTGGGAAAACCATTGTCTATTTCCACAAGAAACTCTATTCTATTAAAAGATAAACATTCAAGTCACTTGTAAGACAAAATTGTTGTCATATATAGCTATAGTTTCCCAAAATTTCATAGTTAATTTGTAGCGTGAAATACTTGATGTTATGCCATAAATAAGGGCGGAGCTAGTGTATTGGTTATCAGTTCACCTGAACTCACTATATCTTAATAAATTTATTTAATATGTATAAATTATTAATTTAAAACTTAATAGCTTAAAACAACTAAAATCTTGAATCCATAAGCTTCGAATTGAAGAGGACACTTGGCGTAAATGGTAAAGTTGCTGCCGTGTAGCCAGGAGGTAGGTCCGAGTAGTAGAAACAACCTTGTGGTCCGGCTCTTTCCCGGATCCCGCGCATACCGAAAATTTAATACACCGAACTGCCTTTTCATAAGCTTCAAATTATGGTTGCCCCTAGAGGTGGCAAAATTGTTAAAAGAAAATAGTTATCCACCCATATTATCCATCAAAAAATGAGTTGGAGAATGAACCATTTTAAAACGGGTCGAATATGGATAAAGAACCATATTATCCACTTAGAAAATGGTTAACCAAATGGATAACCAATGAATAACTAATTAATGTGTTTAACTTTTATATTTGTAAAGCCTCAAATTGGAGTTCCTCAAGTTTGGAAGACTTGGAATTCTCTCATAAGTGATCATATTTAAGAAGCCATGGATAATATGGATATCCATATTATCTGCCGGATAAAATTATTTTTTATCCGTCTCAAATACGGGTCGGATCGGATAATTTATCTGATTTTTAAATTATCCGTTTTGACCCGCTCATATCCGACCCGGCTCGCCCGTTTGCCACAACTAGCTGCCCCTCTAACTTTTATGACCCTACCATGCCTAAAGATTTGACTATACTCAATACACACGTCAAGGTGGCAGGATTAGGTATCAAAATAATTCAAGTGAGCCTACAATTAGACTAAATATAATTATGTATAAAGCATGAAGTAATCTTCCAGAAAATAGCAACACTAAGCAAGAAATGGCTCTCATTTCTATAATGGCCTCAATAGGTTACTTTGAGATATTTGTTGCAATCTTTTGCTTTTTTGTGTTTTGTGCTTTAGGTGATAGAAGTGGCCTACCATGTAATTGGCCATTTCTTGGAATGTTTCCAGGCCTTCTTTTCCATGTAAATAGAATTCATGAAAGGTGTTTTGAAGTTTTTTCAAGAACTGGAGGTACTTATTTACTAAAAGGCCCTTGGTTTGCAAATATGGACATTCTTGGCACAGTAGATCCTGCAAATGTGCACTATATAATGAGTGCAAATTTTGAGAATTTTCCAAAAGGGGAAGAGTTTAAAAAGATTTTTGATGTTTTGGGAGATGGAATTTTCAATTCTGACTTGGATTTATGGAAGAGTCAGAGGAAAATTACTAGGACTTTGATCACTCATCAAAGGTTTCATAATTGTTTGGTGAAAACTAGTTGGGACAAAATTGAAAATGGACTTATTCCTGTCCTTGAATTTGTCGCTAGAGAAAGTAAAATTGTGGATTTGCAAGATGTTTTTCAAAGGTTCACTTTTGATACGACATGTCAATTGGTCACAGGCTTTGATCCTGGTTGTTTATCTTTGGAATTCCCAGATGTTCCCTTTTCAAAAGCAATGGATGAGGCTGAAGAAGTATTATTTATTCGACATTTATTGCCAGAAATTGTTTGGAAATTGCAAAAATGGCTAGGTTTTGGACATGAGAAGAAATTAAGCAAAGCATGGCAAGTTCTTGATCAAGTTATAGGCAAATATATATCGATGAAACGCGACGAATTGAGCAATGGAAAGGAAGACAATGAAGAGGGTTTTGATATCTTAACTTCATACATATTGAATGATGGGCTAAATTTTGATGACAAGTCCTTGAGGGACACTATACTAAACCTCATGATCGCGGGACGTGACACGACTAGCTCAGCTCTTACTTGGTTCATTTGGCTTCTTTCAACACACCCTGAGGTGGAAAAAAAGATAAGGGAAGAACTCATTTCGGTGGAAGAATCCCAAAAATGGAGGCTTTTTAGGGCAAATGAGTTGAAAAATGCGATTTATTTGCATGCAGCATTGTGTGAATCGTTGAGACTATATCCACCAGTTCCATTTCAGCACAAGACTCCACGAGAGCCAGGTATTCTCCCAAGTGGACACCATGTTCATCCTAATATGAGAGTGATGTTTTCTTTATATGCAATGGGGAGGATGGAATCAATATGGGGTAAGGATGCTTCAGAATTCAAGCCGGAGAGATGGATTTCGGATCGTGGCACCGTAAAACATGAACCATCTTATAAGTTCTTGGCTTTCAATGCAGGGCCAAGGACTTGCTTAGGAAAAGAAGTGGCTTTCACTCAGATTAAAGCTGTGGCTGCTGCTATTATTCATAATTACCAAGTTGAAGTTATCAGGGGACACAAAGTTTACCCTAATGTCTCCATCATTCTCTATATGCAACATGGTTTTAAAGCCAGAATTAGGAATAGATGGACTTAATTTTATGTTTTTACTATAATTCTCTATTTTTATTTGAGGTCTGTTTTTCTATGGAATTAATTAATGTATGTATATTCTAGTTCCCTGTCATGTAATTCACTTGTGTTTCAGGTTCAAGTTGTACTAAAACCAAAATAAAAAAGAGAAGTTAAAGTAATTAAGTTGCACATGTGGTGATGTAAAGTTGTTGTATATGTTGGAGGAAAGAAATGATTTTAAATACAAGTCTTAGCCTCTTTTAGTGTAGTTTCCCTTTTATTTGTTTTACTAAACACTAAATTCCTGAGCAACACAAACTTTATCAACACATTACTACCACAAAAACAATAAATTCACCAAAATCCCACAAGTAAAATCTGGAGAGGATATTATATACGCAAATCTTGCCCCTATCTTGGGAAGATAAATATTAAAATATTATCAACAAATTAGCTTAATATAAACGTTAAAAGAAAAAAAAAATAGTTGCAAATTCTGTTAGGAAATCGATTTCTATGTTATTGAAAAAAAAAAACACCGACCTTCAACATCCGCCATTGAATACAAGAAATTACTATCGGAAGAATTGCAAATTAAATGAAGTAGTTTCTAACTTAGAAAAAAAAAATTGTAAATTTAAAGAAAATGATGGTCCTCAATGCATTGGGGTTCCTCAAGTTTGAGAGACTAGAAAATCTCCAAAGTGATCATATTCAAGAAGTCGTGGATAAGATGGTTACTCATATTATCCGCCGGTTAACCCTTTCTTATCCGTATTAAATATGGGTCGGGTCAGATAATTTATCCGCTTTTTTCATTACATGTTGTGACCCGTCTCATATCCGACCGACCCGCATGTTTGCCACCCCAGATATAAGCAACATCTAAAATAGACTTCAGTCCCACTATCGTTTAGCATCGTGAGAGTTTAAAATGTATAGCATTATATATTGTTACTGCTACAAGAAATCTCCTGTTCTAGTGAAATGTTAATTATATTATCACCTAACAATCTAACTTAATTATGGTTGAGAAATTAATTGCAAACAGATGCACAGAACGATTTCGACTTTTCATCTGTCAATGGATTGTCTTAATTATTTGTGAATTATTAGTAGTTGATTCCTGCAAATTATGGTTTTGATCCAACTGCCAAAGATTAGATTAAATGCTACCTGTATGCCTAAAACTAGAAATGGAGTAAAACACAAAGTATCAAACATCACGTAAAAACAAGTAAATGCTGATATTACTTCCCTTAATGTACAAGGCTATATGCATGCAAATATTTAAGGTAATTACAGGCAAATTTCTATAATAAACATCAATTGGTAACTGATAACACAGAAGATATTAGCTCAATCTAAGAATTTGTCAATGGAGATTAGGAGTTCTAGATGCTTCTTATCAAAGAGAACAAGATAGAAATGAGGCAGTGAAATGAGAGAAAATGGTCGGCCCCCTCAATACAGTTGGGCCTCGGACTATTTATACTTCACCAGACCCGCTCCACAATGTTTACAAAAACTAATACAATGTATTGAGACAAAGCTATTAAATCTGGCTAACTCTAATACAATACAAAGAACGGCTATTGATGATAGGCTATAATTGCATATTTTAGTCGCTTATTACACTCTAATTTACTGCACTTTAGTTGAGTTTGCGCTTTAATCGCTAGTGTTTTGCACTACCGTTGTGTTTTATGCCTTGTAGGAGTGATTTCGAGATATATAGATGTTATGGAATGAATTCAAGTGATTTGGAGCTTTGAAGTCTGAGTAAAAGCCCAAGGAATTAAGCCGGGATCGTATTCGGGGGTCAAATTTGATAATTAAGTACGAACGAAGACTCGAGGAGGCATGTTGCGCACTGTCTAGTAAAATAGACATAACTTTTTGCTCAAAACTCCATTTGGACTCCACAATATATGGTTGAAAAGCTAACTCAAGGGGATACAACTTTCACGTTTTACGTTTTTCCAAATTCCAAACGGAACAGGGCGTAACCGCAGTAGGACCGCGGCAGAACACTGCTGCAGATTCTGAAGGCCACTCTGGCCGCGGTCCTAGCGTAACCGCGGCAGGACACGTAAAATTCAGGGACCAAAGTGCAAAACACGGCATTTTAAGCCCTAAACCCTATATTAAACGAAGGAAGCCGGCCAAGAAACGAGGAGAATGATTTTTGGAAGTGAAAAACATCATAAGGAAGGGCGAGAGGCAAGGAGGATCATTGGGCATCAATCTTTAATCTTCTTCTTTGTTCTTTTACCTTTGAATATGAATTCTTTTGTGATTTTTGTTGTTTTTATGAATAGCTAGATACTTTAGTCCAAGGTTTCGATGGAACCAATTGAAGGATGAACTTCTTGATTATGTTAATATAGTTTGCCAGTTAATCTATATTTGTTCAACTACGTGTTCGTTGTAGTTAATTGACAGGATCCTCAATTAGCTGTGCCTATTTAGTGTGCATAACTCGGAAGAGAGTGCATATTTAGGTAATTGTTGAACAACACCACTTCCAAAGTATAAAAGGGATCTATAACTGCGGGTTTAAAGGCGGGATTAGGGATAACGAAGCTTTGGGTGCAATCTAAAGTGAGCTGTAATAAATAAAGTCAGCTAGCGTATCGCGGGAGAGTGCTTCTAGTAAATTATCGCGATTACTCGGGAGAGATTTACGGTAAAAAGAGTGCTCATGATTGATAGAGATGGTTTGGTGAATCTATATGAAACATAACCGGAAGAGATTCCATCAATAGGGGAAATCACTACCTTAGAACCTTCTCATTATTGTTTACAACCCAAGCATATTTAGTTTACAGCTGTTTATTTACTTTCAGTCTTAGTTGTTAGAAATACCATCAACTATTGTTTACAACGTTTGGGGAAGTTGATTATAAAGAATTTAGTAAATCCAACAAAAGTAATTGATAGGTTAATTCTCTGTGGATTCGACTCTGGGCTTAAATACTCAGGTTATATTTGGAACGTTCGCGTGTCCTTTTATAAGGCATAGTTGGGCGAGATCAGCTATCTATACATGACTATCTATTTACAAAATAAATAAAGAACTGGTCCAACTTAAGTGCTTGGGTTTGGAGTCCCAACACCCCCCCCCCCCCTTCAAGTTGGAGGGGAAACCACCTTCAACTTGCCTAGAAAAGAATGATGAAGGACCCCAGGCAGTGGTTTAGTGAAGACATCGGCAAGTTGGTTGGAGGTGGAAACATGGGACAACTGGAGGAACCCCTCAGCCAATTTATTTTTGATGAAGTGACAATCCACTTCGATATGCTTTGTACGCTCATGGAACACCGGGTTCTTCGCAATATGAAGTGTTGCCGTGTAGACACAAAGGACAGAAACAGGAAAAGAAACAGGGACTGTGAGATCATGTAACAGGCTGGACAACCAAACTAATTCAGCCACCACATGCTAGACAGCTCGATACTCAGCTTCAGCGGATGAGAGAGAAACCACAGGCTGCTTTTTGGATTTCCAGCCAACAACACTGTCTCCCAAGAATATACAATAGCCCGAGACAGATTTGGGAGTGTCGGCGCAAGCAGCCCAATCACTATTAGTATAAGCCTTTAAATAGAAATCAAGATTGTTAGAGTAAAACAAACCAAAATCAAGTGTGCGTTTAAGATACCGGAGCAGGTGGAGAGCAGCAACCATGTGAGGTATCCTAGGAGTGAGCAAGAATTGGCTCAAATGTTGAACCCCAAAACAGATGTCACGTCGAGTGTGAGTTAAAAAGAGCAACTTGCCAATGAGTCTCCTGTACTACTCAGGAGAAGGCAACACCTCACCTTCAGCAGCCTTGAGCTTTGAGGTTAGGTCTAGGGGACTAGCAACAGAAGTGACCCCCAAACAATCAAACTCTTTTAGCATATCAGAAACAAATTTCTTTTGAATTAAAAGAACACCATCAGGGAAATAGTATATCTCAATGCCTAGGAAATAGTGTAGAAAATCCAAGTCTTTAATTTTAAATGCATCATCCAGAAACTGCTTTAAAGCTGAAATTTCAACCAAATCATCACCCGTGAGGATGATATCATCGACATAGACTACTAATATCACCAAATGACCTGGAGACCCTTTGATGAAAAGAGATTAGTCATTGAGGAAATGATGACACCCTCTAGAATAAAGAGCCTCGGATAACTTGGCACACCATTGTCTAGAGGCTTGGCGCAACCCATAGAGTGAGTTTTTCAGCTTACAAGCCAAAGGGACAGAAGAAGGAGAAGAAACAAAGAGGCTAGGAGGTAATCTCGTATAAACCTCTTCATCTAAGTCACCATGAAGAAAAGCATTATTGACATCAAGTTGAAATAAAGACCAATTCTTTTTAACAGCAACAACATTCAAGCACTTAACAGTGGGCATCTTCACAATAGGTGAGAAAGTCTCATTGAAATCCACTCCCTCAACCTATGTGTCCCCCTAATAACAAGCCTAGCCTTGTATCATTCAACCTCACCATTAGCTTTGTATTTAATCTTATAGATCTATTTGCAAACAATAGGCTTCTTACCCTTAGGAAGCTCAACAATATCCCAAGTGTGATTTGCTTCCAAAGCCTCAAACTCTTTCCTCGTGGCATCTTGCCAAGCTGGGATAGGAGCTACTTGGGAATATGTATATGGTTCAAATTCTACTGGCTTAGAAGAGTAACAAGAAAGGGAAGTGGGCAGCTTGTAGATGTAATCCTTTAAGTAAGAAGGATGATTATGAGGTCTATCAGATTTTCTAAGGGGAATAGAGGATAGTGCAGGAATGGCAGCATCAGGATTGAAAGAAGGAGAATCAGGGGCAGAATGAGGGACTGCAACTGAAGGAGATGCTGCAACATCTATGTCAGAAGGAGTAGGAGATGAGGGAACAGGTGTGGAAGAAGGACTAGGAGGTGAAAGGGGTGAGGGAGCAATATCAGGGAAAGGAGAAGGTATAGGACTGTCACGACCCAAAATCCGTTAAAGGTCGTGATGGCGCCGGACACCACTGTCAGGCAAGCCAACACCAAATAGTTTATTTAATTCTCATTTTAGTATTTTTGAAATCATAAATGTTCTTCAATTTAACTACTAAAAGATGAACTTTACAGAAAAGTAACAATCT